ATATGCTTTTCCTTTAGGGGATGTTGTTTAGTTTTTTCCATTGTAGTTATAAATAATAAATTAATTGAGCCAAATCTACTTGGCTCTCTGAATCTTTGCCTAAGATCACAAACTGGTAGTGGAGTTAACTGACCAGTAATTTGCTTTGAGGTGATCTTGAGATAATCCTTTGCTATGTAACGAACTTTTCTGATTCTGTAAATAAATGTCCAGCTTTTCTTGTACTACTACATCTCTGTAAAGCTGCCTGTATGCAGGCATGTTAAAAAGCTGATGTGAATCACTTTTGCCCTCTTAATCATCCTCAAAGTAGTTCCAGGGTCATAGACTGTGCGTTGAAGCTGTTTATGCATTACTGTGTAAGTGAATTAGTGAATTTTGAGTTAGTGAGTGTTGAGAGATTTCTCAGATGCACACTTAAATTAATTGTCCCATTCTGCAGTCTTATACTAGAAGAACTGATAGTTCCTGCATCCTTTATACTTGTCTAAAGGGTATAACTGATGATACTATACATTACTGACTTACATTCTTAAGACTTTTTGAGTTAAACTGATACAAACTCTTCGTATAGATGATCTTTTTCACCTGAACTAGTCTTTATTAGTTGAGTCAAATTAACTCTTTATAGTTGATCAAACAATTTCTAAGTTAAACAGGGGCCTGTCCCTGTATGGACATCCTACTTACATCTGAGGATAGCTATTCTGCACTAAAGTTGAAGCCTCCCTCTTTACTATCCCCTTATAATTATAACCAGGGTTTTGTTTTGTTCTCTTGTTCACTTTAAATTGTCAGCTTTGTCTTTGTTCATTGCCTTGTTTTTGCAGTCTTTTTGCTTTAACTGGGGTGAAGTCAGCACCGTAAGTATTTATGCAGAGAAGTGGGGCCAAGAAGCCATTTTGTGTATGAAACAGGGTGGGTGTTTCCTAGATTAAAATTCCTTTATTATAATTGCAATACTGTGTTTTTGAAGAGCAGAAAGAGTTGGCCATCCAGGTATATCGATACCATAATGTCCTCTGCATTGCAGTTGTTATGTATCTGTGTATGCTGGAGATGGAGAAGAGTAACGCTGGTACAGTATTTGTATTCACTATAATATATAATAATGAAATTAATACATATCTGTATAATATATAATCACAAATCTGAGTCTCATTAGGGGTCAATGGGTACTCTACTTTAAACTGTTCTACTCTTGGCCTCTATCAAGGTAAAGCTCCCTTAAATTAATCCTAAGTTTAGGTATCTACAGCAACTAATATACCTGAATCAGTGTAACTAAAATGGGTAGCAATGTGACATCCTTAACTCAAAAGCTGGGCTCCATCATGTCCCTCTGAGTGTTGCCTTCTCTATTTAAAAGGGAGCATTAGGTTTTTTTTCCTTTTTTTCCTCAATCATAGCCTCAGGTTGGCATTGTTTATGATCTTACATGAATTACATAGGAAGATACGGTTTTGGTCTGGCTGTATGGTAATAATAGTGCACCTGGCTGTAAAGCAGGCACACAGAAATATCAGGCAGTGACTCAGAGTGCTGATAGTGAGGTAAAATGTTTTACAGAGGGAAGGTTAGGAGATGGTCAGTTTGTGATTCTACAATACTATCCTTGTGCCTTCTGTAAAGATAACTGGCAGCTGTGAAGTGGCTTCTGCTGGAGAGGGAAGAGAATATTCTCTAAGGAAGCAGAGGAGGAATGTGAGGACTCCATGAACAGTTCAAGTTCTGATTTAAGCAGCTTTTATAGAGAACAACCCAAATAGAAGAGTATCTTTAGGCATCTAAAGGAGTTAGTGATGGCTAAAACAATTCCTTGATGCTGTTTTTTAAGTCATACGGAGCGTGCTGGTCCATGGGTTCTGTGGATAAGTTTACTGCAATGAGGAAGATAAGCACAGGTGCATGCTTGTTTTGCATAGATGTGCACATTGGTTCTTTTTTCTAGCAGCACCTGTGTCATTGCCCAAAGCTCTTGGGAACTACTGATGAGTAGGTAGGAGCTTGCTTTTGCAGGTTTTTCCTTCACAAATCCAGATATGGTTTGGAATAACTGTTCTGCCTATCTTCCCTTGTGACACTGTACAAGGATTTTTTTCACTGCTCTTATTCAGTATGTTTGTATGAGTCATTGGGGAAGATACGGCATTTTTTGTCTGTATATGGATCCCTTATGTGAGACAGTTGTGGCATCTGATGAGGGTATGGATCCTAGATATCCAGTAACAGACTGGATATCACTTACATATGATGGTGTTAGGTGTGAGGAAATACCAGGTGGAGTCTTTCTCAGCTATATGTCCCCCACATTGTTTTTGGGTGCAGAAGCTCAGTGTGCTTTCTTAACAGAGATCTCGCCACATATATGCAAGCCTTGTGTTTCTAGACTGGAGTATTGCAGTGTGCCTGCAGAGGTTTGTGCCTGGAGATTCTTCAGAAGCTAGAGCAGAATTAATTCGCATGTTACTTAGCAGAAGCACCACATTTTCCAGGTTCCTGTTCGTGTTCTTTAAAACGTGACGAGTTAGGGGTTTCTCAGCAGTTAAGATCACTCCTCTTGAACTGTGTTCTGCGTCACTCATTCAGCTCGGTAAGGACGTGCATTGTGCGTGTCGTGTTCTCTCTGTCACATGCACATGTGACTTCTTGTAGCATGGTTTTCACGCTATTTTCTGGTTTACCAGGGGCAAGTATAATTTAGATCTCATCTTACTGTTCTTAGGTGGTTTTTAAATGAGTGTGGCCTACTTCAGATTAAGTAACTTAAACCAAAAAGGTGGAAACATTGATTTCAGTTCTCTAGTACTCTGTTGCTATTTTTATTTTCACAAAGGATTTTCTCCTCACTGATTGGTATAATCCTTCAAAGTTAATTTGCAGCTAAATATACACCCTTTCTGTGTAATTTGGCACTTATTCTTGTTAGCCAAAAGAAATCTTTAGCTTTATACAACTATATTTCATTTCATCCTATATTTGAAGGATGATACTGCTATATATGCCTTGCCTTAAGCTTGAATGAAAATGTTGATAAAATAGTATTTCAATTTCCAATAAATACATTAAATGTGAAACATAAACTCAGTAGTTTTGACATTTTCTTTTAAGTCATTGTGGGCTAGATATTTAGAAAAAAAATGCTTTCAGAAATTCCACAGATGTGGAAACTAAGAGGGTACCTAACTCGTTTCAGAATCCTTTAGGTTTCAACTAGACAGACTCTAAATGAATCTAGTAGACAATATACTTTTTTCCTAATGTCTACAGTTGTGTGTCTGTGTCCATACACTGAAAAACTTGACTTAATTTTTCCAAGCTTTTAAAATAGATTTATCTCCTCCTTTCCAACTTCAGAGTTCTTTAGAAACTGAAAAAGGAAAATAAACTCTCCTGCCTTTTCAGTTTTTAATCAGTTTTTCAATTCTGAATAGAGTAATAAACTTTAAGACGTTGGTCCCTCTGCAGATACTGCATAGAACAAAAGTAAAAGTTATTAAGGCAAAAGCTTTTATACTCAATTCAATATATTTTATGGAAAATTATACTCAATATGGCACTGCATTTTAAAACTGTGAACTGCAAGTAAGGTATTTCCTCTCCCAGTGTGTATACAATTCAAAAAGCAATGTCTGTTTATTTGAGGGCTTATTGACTCAAAGTAAGGTTTGTAATTGCCTAAAATAAGCATAGGCTTTAATACAGGTTGTTTTAATTTTATACTTAATATAAGCTCTTTCAGAAAGAAAACTGTATCTAGCAAACCAATGCTTTTATACTGTAATCTCCATTTAAATAACACAGCATTTCTGGTCAGTAGAGGAGACTTGGCTGCCTTTTGCAAGTGAAGAAACAATAAAATTTGCCCAGGCTTTTTGGCATTCATTGTTTCTTTTGCCTATGACAGATGTTGGATTTGTGTGGGTGTGGTGGTTTTTGTTATAGCACTGACTGAAGGAAAAGTAGGTTGGGGAGATGACAGTAAGGTCTTTTTCCTCTGTGCTTTTAGATCTGAAAACGCAGCAGTCTAAAAAGCACAGTGTGAGTGTGGTGAGCTTCAGGACCAAACTAACCCTTGAAGTGGGTTGTTAAATATCTGTCTTAATTGCTTCATATTTGCAAAATGTGTTCCCTCCCAAAACAAAGGGGCAATTAAGACTGAATGACTTGAGAGCTGCCTTCCTGCCACATGAGAGCATTCTGTTAGAGAAAAAGGGTGTGACTCTGAGGAGATGTGCAGGTATATTGAACTCTTTCTTTTGAGTCTTGGAGACTTCGTGGAGCTTGGCTTTTGATGGCACTTCTTGGCCTCTTGTTTGTCTAGAAGAACAGTAGGACTGTAACAGGTTCTTCCCACTCAGTTTTATCTGCTAGACACGGATTTCTGGATTTGATCTGTGCAATGAGAAATTCAGTTGCTTTATTGAATGCGAATTTTTACTGTTTGATAGAGAAAGATCTTGATCCACAGGTAAATGCTAAAGATGAGACTTCTGAGCTGCTTTAAACAGTTCTACCACGTGAGGCAGAGTGATTCAGGAATTCCTACATTTTACATCTCATCTAAATCAGGAATGACTGAGAGACTGAACATTCATGCTGCATGCTGTTTGATGCAAAGTAGAGGTTTTGGTCCAGTTGAAACTAAAGCAGTTTGTACAAGACTAGCAACAAAGCCATGCATTAACGGGTCTTATTGCATGTCCTTCTCAAGAGTGCATTGTGGTGACACATGTTGATGGCCAGTATTGGAGAGGAGCTTGAGCCAATGGTACCTGTGTTGCACCAGCATTTTGCAGATAAGACTTTGCAGGCTTGCAGATGATCTAGCATGTGTCGTGAGAGAAAGTGTTTATATGGGTGATGGGAAAGTGTTTATAATGGGTGATGTCTGGATGTGGGGAGAAGTGAAAACTATAGGTATGTTTTCTTCAATTATTCTTATTCCATTTTACATTTAATTTAATGTCTGCAATGGACTGTTTTTGCTGTCTTTATAGGAGGAAGAAGAGCAAGAGGAAGAAGATGATGATGAAGATGATGATGATACAGATGACCTTGATGAACTAGATACGGACCAGCTGCTGGAGGCTGAGCTGGAGGAGGATGAGAACAATGAGAATGCTGGTGAGGATGGAGAAAATGACTTTTCTCCCTCTGATGATGAGGAGCTTGCCAACCTCCTGGAAGAAGGAGATGAGGGTGAAGATGAAGATTCTGATGCTGATGAGGAAGTCGAGCTGATTCTTGGAGATAGTAAGTGTGTGCCCAGCTTGGTGACCACAGGTGACCTTATCCTCTGTTCAATGTCTTGACAAATACGCAACATCTAGGTCTTCCCTTAGCTGGCATTCCCCCTCACTAGTATGAAAGGCACAAATCATCATGCTGGTTCACCTGTGGCCTATCAAAGTAATCTGTTGGTAAAAACAGCTCTTATCTGAGAGAACAACTGTGAGTTCTGGAATGGAAGGTATGTCCTTTCTGCAAGTGCTCCCAGGTGCATGTGTGAGAACTTAAAGGCAGGCCAAGAAACTCCATGTGAAGAACCCTTGTCCAATTGCTTGCCTGTCCTGCCCTTCAAGGGACACTGGTTGAACTGTTACCTCACCTGTCTTCTCTGCCATATTTGTACCTGTAAAGACAGAGAAGCATTTTTGCTCCTTGGTGCTATTCTTTCTCTTTTGTAATTGCTTAAAGTGCAAAACCAACATGGCATTTCTGACTTCACTTCCTTTTTTTAGACTGTTCTGAAGCTAACATAACTTTTGGGATAAAATTTAAATTGTTCTCTTTTTCTGGCATTCCACAGATGCAGAGACTAGAAAAGTTAACCAAGTGTGTGTGTGTGTGTATAAGAAAGATAGATCTGAACTTTTTATGTAGCAATTAAATTTGGAAAAAGGCTTCACAAGAAAGAGAAGGTGAGTAGGATAGCATCAGGCGTGGCATTTGTGACACTAGATTCTGTTCCCTTTTTTGCAGCACAATTTTTGAGTATGCGCAGCCAAGCCACTTAGTTCTTTTTAATTTTCAAGCTGTAAAATGGGGGTAATATAGATACCTTAAGTTAAAAGGTTAGTAAGGATGAGTAATTGCAGTGTGCAAGGTGTTTGAAGTCCTGCTGTGATAGGAGATGAATGTGATTCCCACCTCAGCTCTCAATCTTCTCTGCCAGTGCGCTGGAGGATTAAGCATGCCAGGCCTCTGTTTTGGCACTAATATGGCTGGCAGACTCATTCATGTCCCTCTTTTCTGTTAGAATGCAGCTCAGTCGTTTTAAGGATGCGGCCAAATCAGGTTTCCAGAGTTACTCTGTGGGGTCAGTTTGCTGTTCGCTTGAAGGTAGTAGGTATACAATGCAGGGCCATATAGGACGTTTACATCGCTCAAATTCATTAATAGCATATTGCAGTTCAACATGTTGGGATTGCGGGTAACTTCTGCCTGTCCCAGTAGCGGGCAGGACCTTCTTGACACAACTCCACTTCTGTTTCCTCAGGGCGTGCAGTGCCAGAAGCTACTAAGAGAGCACCCAGAGTGCTGTATTTGAATTGTCCAAGGGGCAGAATGGAGGGGAAGTTCAGGCCATTTCAGTAACTATTCCTGTAACAAAACCAGGTGCTACTTGACACTTCGTTATTTCAGGTGTGCTCTGCAGAGCACTGCATATTATGAAATGGCCACATCTGTACACCATTTATGGATAGGACCACTTGATCAGAACTTTGATCTGGTATTGCTGTGGAGCTGCAGCCAGCCCATCCTGTGGCTGTTAGGTTGCTTGGCAGCATCTTTAGGAACTTAAGGCAGGGAGTGCAGCTCTGCCAGGCTGATGTATGTGTGGTCCTTGCACAGGGTTTGATGAGTGGGGTTCTGTGGCTTCTTTTCTGTCACTTGAACTTCATCTGGCTTGCTTTTGTTTCTCACCCAGCAAGAGCAATTAGAATTTCCCTCTGCTTTGCTTATGCTGTGTTCCAGAATTAAAAATTGTAAGGACACTGACACTGTTGCAAAGTACAGATCTGAGGCATGGTGATGTATTTAGAGTGCTTCCTACTGCAGACCCTTGCTGTATTTTGGATGAACCTCCATAACATACAGGTTTAGACAGGTACACTCTTCGCTGGG